AAAGCAATCAATCAAAAAAAAGTGTTTTTCAAAAATGCCATGTTTGCCACAAATGCAAATTTTTGGATGCACGGGTTAGGACAATAGGACTCCAACTGGCTGCTCACAAAAGGAAGGATTAGGTCCTCTGTCATGTTAATAGTGACATCAACAACCTGAATAAAAGCCAAAAATTCAAGTTGATTCTGCAGTTTAAGACCATTGTTCTCCCATATGGTTTAGCCTGTAAGATTTAGTCTACACATAGAGTTTTGCCAGGATTTATATCATTTTTCACATCATACAGTGCAATTCTTGATATGTTAATGTACTTTTACATATAAAAGCCCTTTGTAATTGACAAAGATTTATACTGATATAGCTAAAACGTCCTACAATCTAAAGGTATCAGAGGTATTGGAAATACATATGCAAAATGATGGCTGCCAATATTGTTCTGTTCTTCTTATTTTGGAGCCCATTGTAAAAACAAATTAGGTGAAACCTGCAACAACCTCCATCTCAGATATTAAAGGAGCGGTAGCCCTGGACTTTGACTTTGGATAAGCAAAGCTGAGGCAAGAATACGGGATATTCCAGAGGGCTTGTTCCTGGCCTGACCCTTCCGGATCCTGATGAGACTCAGGCCTTTCTTCATTCCATACTCTGAGCCTGGTTCCTATTTTGTAGAGCTGCAGTAATATTGTACATTTGTTGTTTGGTAACAGGAGCTCTCCCAAGTGTCCAAGGCAGAGAAACTTAATTCTTGACACAGGTCCACGAAACTAACCTTTCTCTCTCTCTCTTTTTCTTTTTTTTTTTTAAACCTGGCAAATTACAGTATTAGAACCAGAGTCACGTACAAAACATGACATGTTAAGTGACTGGGGAATCGTAAATTGGGCGTTTTGACTTGAACAAATAATAAGCATTGTCATACCAAACTGATTATTATTTTAAAATACTGTCCCAGGCTATAACTGGCTTTGTGTACAATAGCAATACAGGGTGTAGTTACAGACACAATTTCCTGTGCTTAGGTTTTGAAATTATTATTTAAGATCCCCGTAACATTTGCCCGGTGCACCAGCGCAATTCCCCTATTAGATAATTTTCTATCCTTGTGAGGGCAATTTTGCTTGCGCAATGCTGCCAGAGCTTTCAGGAAGGGAGAGACAAGCAATTGTGACAATAAAATTTGCATCAGCTCCCACCCAACCTCTCCCAGAACTGAAATACCATTTGTCGCATTCAAAGCCTTTTCACACCAGAAGGGAAGGTGTTTCTGCACTGAAAAGTCATTGTGATCTCCACAGGGTTGCATCCTCCAGGCTGACTTTTGCCTCTCAGGTTCCCATGAGAAACACCAAACAGCAACTGTGGAGTTCCAAATGGCTTTGTATCAAAGACTTGGTGGACTGCATGACCCAGCATCCAGGCATGAAAGCCCAAATCAATCCAGATTTGGTCATGGGGTTCAAAAGCTGAAGCAGAAATTCTGCTCTTTGTAGCTGACCAGTTTGAGGAGATTGACCCTTGTAAAAGCATTGTAAATGTGCCCTTGTAAAAAACATTTCAGATCTAACAATATCACCAGTTTCTGGAAAAATGAAGGTGCTAAGCCTGCCACGCTGTACTCACGTAGCACCTCTCCCAGAATGATTGTTTTTTAAGGGCTAAAAAGAATGTATTGTTCCTGTGTTGGAACCAGGACAAGGGATGCAGGGAGAGAGAGGATAGTAATGAAAATGTCTGTAATATGTAGATTTGCAGGAAGAAAAAACATAGCCTGTGAGACTTGTGTTGGATGTCATCATTGGTCATTCAGAAAAGATGCTACTACTACTTCAAATTGTCCCAAAACCAATGCACACAAATCATGGTGGAGTGCCAGTTTCTAAGGCCATGTGGCAATTTAGTGATGAAACGTGTGAAAACATTTTCAACAGCATGAGGTCTCTGATTAAACTGTTCACAACCTCTGCCTTGCTCCTGCAGGACACCAGGACCAGGTGCTGGGATTCTTCCCCATAAAGTTACTATTTTGCTTCTCTGAATAAAGGACAAACAAGAGTGAATTCCTGCGCAGATTTTCACCCACCGCTTGATATGAAGACGCTTGTGCGTGTACCTTGTCTCACTAGGATACAGCCGATGCTACTGAGCTCAGCAGTGTGTGCTATGGCAACCCCATATTACCTAGAGGCCTCGCAACCTTTCAGTTAGCGGGTACTGCGGGACACCATGTTGTATCTGAAGCTTTGCTATGCCAGGGGATCATGCCTAGGGTCATTGCAATGCTGTCTGTCACTGCTTACATGCTGCTTAATGCCTAGATACCCCACAATTAGCAAGGCGGAGGGTGGTGCAGGCACGCTGCTGTGTCCTTGGATATGCAGGGCAAATATAAAAGAGAGTAGAGGTAAGGGAAAGGAAATCTCCTCTAGTAGTAGCAGAGCGACTCTTACTCACTCTTATTTACCTTTCCTGAAAAAACTGCTCCCAAAAACCCATTGCCTCCATTCCACTGAGTTTGGCCTTTTCTTTTGACTTGGAGCAGAGCCTCACCTTGGACCTCTACTTTCCTTCCACATGCCGCACGCAAGCTCGCCTGTATCACAGCAATGGCAAAGGGAGGACCCATGTATGGGAAAGACTTCTGAAGAGGGCAACAGGCTGCTTCTGCTCTGGGCTCAGCCTGGGAATCATGGGGCTGAGCTGCTACACGTGTATAGTGGAAATCACTGCATCTCTACAGCCCCTGCAATTCTCTCCTCGGCAGCCCGCAAAATTCCACTGAGGAAAAAGAAATGGGGAGGGTGAAGAAGGAGTCAGAAAAACTATAGTGTTCCCAGGGGAAAAAAAATAAACAGCCCTATTTAGCTTATCCAGCTTTGCTAATGTCAATCACTTTTCTCATTTTAAACAGGAAAGACACCACTTTAGTCCACCTGTTCCATTATTTATCATGCTATGCATTTCCCATGAATTGTCACTCATGCAAAACCTGTACATCGTAAGGGGACACCCTAATATTTTTAATGACCTTAAGCAAAGTGATTGACATTAGACACCGGTGTCAGATGTTCTGGTGACGCAACATGTTCTCCTAGCAGCAGGAAAGCTTCCTGCCGTGATTAAGTTAGGGCTATGGAAGTGCTAAAATGTGTTGTCAGCTTTCCTCTGATGCAAGTGATTTTATTATAGCGTCTGGTAACCACGGAGTGTGGCAACGCAAATACTGACTCCAAACATCCCCTCCCATACATATAGCTTGCTCTATTTAAAACACGAAGTGCACTTTGCAAATCCAGGGATAAGTTATGGATGTAACAAGCTTAAACCATGGAGGGCAGAGGAAAAGGCGGCACCTAAGCCAGAATGCCGGGGTGATTTCAGCAGAACGGCTCCGGGAGGACCTGCAGAAGGCTATCCCCTGAGGCACCTGTTCGGCAGGTGTGCTCCGCAGCGGCATCGCCACAGCCATCGTGGATGCCAGAGGCTCCGAAGGGCAAAGAGGAGGCACACTGGTGCAGGCCTCGCTCGCTGTAGCAGTGGAAAGCAAAAGTCGCATCCAGCCCTTTTGAGTCTGGAGAAAGTAAGGAGGAAAAAAAAAAAGAGAAAAAAAAAAGGAGGAGGACTCTGTGCAGCCCCTCTGCCTTCTGACACCCTCATACACACTGGGGTGGAAGACTGTGACTTGGCTCAGCACTACTTGTCCTTCATGACATAGATGAAGAAATGTTCCGTTTTGCTTTAATTTGGGACCGGCCCCTCAATTATTCATTATCTGAGAAAAGTTGGAAGACCTCTGGAACACAAGAGTTACAGAATCAAACATCTCAGACACACACAGTGGGCACCTGAGACCTGCTTTTCGTAAAGATTCGTAATCCCAGAGCTCATTCAGCAAACACTTACTGCACAGATGACTTTGCTTCCATAAGTAATTATTAATAGTTGTGTCTAAAACTGACTATGCCAGTAAGGGTCTGCAGAACTGACTGTTACGATTTGTCAATAAGTGAGTTGTTAATCAAGCTGCAAGAGGAATAGGCTATCAAACCAAAATCCATGGTCTATAGAGATTTTTGGAAGAGATCAGCAGTACATATGTTGACAGTAATTGTCACAGGTGTTTTTCTACAAAAATAGAATCATAAAGCAGTCAAAGTTGAAGATACAAGCTATCTTGATAGCAATAAAAAAAGATTTTCTAAAGGTCTAGCAGCACTGAATATTATTTTAATGAAATTTACTTTTTAATTTTATAGCAAAATAATCAAAAGTGCTAAACCTGACCACTTTAATTTACAAAAAAAGTCTCATGTTTTAAGCTATAATCATACCTCGTTATTTAGGTTAGACAATATAATTACACATTTCTACCTATTGCTATTCAATAGTAAAACAAAATTAATATTAGTTGGTTTAAAAAACAGGGAAAGTACCACAGATGTTGGGAGGGGAAAGTTACATAAAATGTAAGAATCAGCTTATTGAGCAGTCTGCAGCTTGTCTGTTTGTTTGTAATTGGGGTTTTTTGTGGTGGGGGTTGTTTTTTTTTTTTTTTGAGATACAATTTAAGTCATGGACAATCTGGCCATAAGCTTGTAGTCACTTCAAATGCTATGACCTCTCCCTTGGTCAAATGTCACAGTGTGTATTTTAAGGAGATCTCTGGCATTTCAAGTCAGTTCAGATTATTTTCTTAGTTCTCACAAGTTCCCTTTCCAACATGATCAGCATGTTGGAGAACGCAGTTATGATGACTGCAGTTATGATGACACTGTGAAGGAAAAGTGTTTTTTCTTCCGTCCTGGAAAGAATCACTACCAAGTCTGCAGTAAGAAAAATATTAAGAGCACTTGCAGAGTTTTTAAGAGTCTTTCTTAATCCAATCCATTTTCATTTCTGTTCATTTCCAAAGTTAAATTAAAACCTGCAATCTCTCCCATTGATAAATAGTCAAGTTGACTTACAAGGGTTCTGTCTTCTGTCCAGCCTTCTCTTGGTTGTCTTTAACCAAACAAGGTTCGCTGATTTGCCACAAGCGCTGTCTGGCTCTCCCGCCTCTTTGCTTTCTTGTTTTGCTGTCTGATTTTCCAGCACACTGCACTAGAAGCCAGCAAAAGGAGTCCTGATGACAAGAGGACTAATCCAAACACTGAGATGATAGATCCATGGGAATTGAAGCTGTATGCCACAGCAGTAACCACAATGCCAGCTATGAGGATGACCACACCGAAGGGAATGGTACAGCGGTAACAGGAGAGTTCTGCTCCCCCTGTTGCTGCAGTCAGCTGGCATTCACTGACAAGAGGGATGGTGGTTATCACACAGTCATTGTTATTACTCTTCTCTGTGGTTACAGAATCAGGATGCTTTGGAGCGCCCAGGATCTCTTTAATAGGTTCGTTTGTCATCTTGATGGTCTTGACTTAGTCAATTCTTAGGCTGAGGATCTCAGGATCTGCTGAAGATGCATTGCACTGTGGAGAGAAGAGTATGAGTTCAACTAAGAAGTGTTACTGTTATGTGACAAATGGGTGACATGGAAGTATCCCACTTGGGATCGCAAACAAGCAGACACTGTGACCCCACAAAGATTTATGCACAAGCTTAATTGTAACACTGCTGGTTGTGGTGGATCTGAATCAATTGTGGTGGATCTGAATCAATTGTTATGGTAGCATGTGCATAAGTGCTAGAAAAAACAGAGTCACAGGCTAAGACAGACACCAACCTTAAAGTGTTGTGGGCCAAATCCCACTTTAAGTTACATCCTAAAGTCAGTATTTCTGGATGCAATTTAGATTTCAATGGCATTGTACCTTCTGATGAGGAGGTGAAGTTCATAGGCTGTTTTGGTTAAAAATTCTACTCTTGCTCACACAGTTTTTCACACAGTTTCTTTATATATACCCCCATACACACACATTACCCAGATTTGCTCCAATGCACATCACAATAACATGGGCAAAAACTGGCACAGCAAAAAACAGGACTGAACAGTGAACCCTTTCTCAAGGCAAGTGCTACTTAGCGAAAAAATTCAAATGGTCATGACTAGGTATGGAATTGGGGGGGAAAGGGGATGAAGACAGTACCCTGCACTCAGTAAACGCTGGCTGAAAGCTGGTGAACCTGCCGTTACAGCAACATCAATGCCAGACTGTCAGCTTGCCATTTAAATTGGCTTGATGCAAAAATAATGGGTCTCTTGTAAGTCCATGAAACCACATCCATGTTACTGTGTGGGAGGGAGATTTACAGTCATATTCACTCATCTTAGTTACAGTAGGTACAGACTCTCAGGCCTACAGACAGCATGCACAGTTTGATTGCATCTGCATTATGAGCCAAAATAGCTTTCGGCTCCACGGAGCCCACTGCAGAACTGGAGTCCACCTGATCCGGGCAAGATGAGCCTGTGGCTCTCCACTGCTACAGGCTGCTGACAGACCTCTGCCATCTCACTGGGACTCTGCTGGTGTGGGGCCGCCCTGGAGTCTGTGGTGAGCCTCCGACAATCCTGAGGCTACCACGGCTGTGCTGCCTTGGACCAGGCGGTGTGCTCAGTGCGCCCCACCACATACAACAGAGGCTGGGACACTGGGGAACCACTGGGTTTTCCTGCTGGGAGTAGCTCACAGGACTCCTCCACCACTCTCTGGTATGGGCTGTGTAGCTTTTGCTCCTATGAGCAACATGGTATGCAGCTCAGAGAACAAGGAAGAGAAGAGCGTTGGCAGTAATGCTTTTATCACTTTTATCACCTTCACATCTGTGACTAGGAAGTTAATTGCCAGATACTTGTATTCTCCTTTTCCTTTCCCACCACTCCCACCCTTGTTGCTAAGATATATTCGTCCATTGTGGAGAGCCCTTGGTTTTGTATCTCAGTACCTCATGCAATGGACTGTGTATTTTGAAAGAAAGAGGATTTCACTATTTTTAAACACACACACACAAATGGGCTATACTCTGTATCTAGTCAGAGAGTTTGTATCTGAGTTTCCTTGAACCCTAATGAGAGAAGGAAAGTTCAGATCTGGTTTGACAAAGCTTTTGTTCTACTGCTCTAAGGAAGAGTGCTCAGCTCAATATTGTTATCTTGCTGTACACAGCTATCTTCAGGGCTCAATCCTGCAAGGGGCTCAGCAGCTACAAGACAGAGTAGCCTTTCCCTCCCTAATGACAACACTGAGTACAACACAACCGAGCACACACTGAGCACACACACTGACAACAGAAGAGGCAATTGGCACAAACTGAAACACAGGAGGTTCTGTCTGAACATCAGGAAACACTTTTTTACTGTGAGGGTGACCAAGCACTGGAACAGGTTGCCCAGGGAAACTTTGGAGTCTCCATCCTTAGAGATACTCAAAAGCCATCTGGACAGTCCTGGGCCAACTTCTTTAGGTGGACCTGCTTGAGTGGGACAGGGGGTGGACCAGGTGACCTCCAGAGGTCCCTCCCAACCACAACCATTCCGTGATTCTGTGTGTTTCTTTGAAGGTACTTGGTATCTCCAAGGGCAGGCAGGGGATCTGATCAGTGCTTATCAGACAAAGCAAACATATCTGTGCTAACACCTTTAGATATCCTAGGTTCTCCTAGGTTCTGTTGCTCTGTCCTTTGAATTCTAACACATGATTAAGTACCTTTTATATCAGTTGAAAGAGCCCAGGAAAGCCATGGGGCTGCTCTAGTGCGCCATCGATCTGTCCCCACATGGAACTGAGCCCAAGTTCTGCATTTTCAATAATGACTTACAGTGAGACTTACACTGGTGCCATTATGTTGCTGCATTACTTATCCATAAAATGTTACAGAAGTTCAGGACAAGGGGAGAATGTGGTCCCCAAATGTCACCTTTTTTTGATCTTACCATTAGCCAAATTCAATTTGTTCAATATTTTATTATTAAATTTGAAGGAGGAAAAAAAAAACCATTTTCCGTAAAAAAGGTCTCTTAGTTCCAAACACATTGTAATAACTACTCAAAAGTGCAAATACTCTAACAGTCACAGAAATAGGGAAACTTCCCAATAACTTGAAAAAGCTTTGGATTGGGCTCAGAATAAACACGATTATTCTGAAAAACTTTAACATTCAAAGTATATTTACTCCTGTCTCTAGAGTCCTTGTCCCTCTGCTTCAGATACATCCCCAATGAGCATTAAATCTCTTAGACGCCTTGTACAGAGATTTATGAAGAAAGAAGATATATTTATACAGTCAAAATGAACATGATTTTTTAAAAAAATCTCCTAAACTACCAAAATTAAGTCAATGGCAAAATACTTGTTGACTTCTGAGGAGCACAGTTCTTGACTGTAATAGGATGTAAGCAGACAGGCATTCATATAAAACAAATAAACAAACCTCTATTGAAGTAACATAAGTTAAATAAACAACAGAACTTACTTGAAGTGTGAGTAAAGGTATTCAGCCCTAGAAAACAGGGCACTAGATCCTCATTGCCAGCAAAGTCACTTCTGACTTACGCCAACAGGTGACTTGGTTCAAGTTTCAGGGTAAGAAATTTAGGCAAAGATACCAGGCAACACCAGCATCCTCTCACTAATCATACTAGAAGTACTTTCTTACGGAGCTACTTTGACTTGGAAGAAGAATGCGTGGCAATCTGTAGCTAACACTGGATAAAGGGGAGAGGAATGTTTTACCCACTAGTAAGTGTAAGTTGAGATTTACTGAAAAGACATGAAATCCATCAGAATGCACACCTACCAGGTCCATGAGAAATCCATCGTAACAAATCCCTTGGCTCAGTAAGCAGAGGAAGACTGCTTAAGATGTCTCGTATGTCAATTCAAGGCAGAGTCATGCAGCAGTAAAAGCTGCTCCAGGCTTTGAAGTGTCAGATGTTGCTGAATGATGAATTGGAGGTGACAATATTCTAGCACGGAAGTTTCCTACAAGAAAAGTTGTTGGATATTTATCAGCTTCTTAAAAACAAAACTCCTGCAGGGAAAAGCTCCCGTTGTATGCTGACCCCTGCTCCTAACCTAACTGAAGCAGGAGATGTTCTCCCTCTGGCTCTCCTAATGGTTTCTGCCTCTTTTCTTGGCAGCAGCCACCCATTTCTGGCCCTATGTAACATTTTCCTTTGATGATGTGACGTCTCGATGATGAGTGTCACAACCCAGGCAAGTCCCCCAGAAAGAGCTAGGCAGGAAAATGCACATGAATTTCTGTAGTTAAAAATCTCATTTAACTTTGTTTCTATTGCTCACCTCACCTATGTGAATCAGAGAACCAAATCATGACTTAGAACACTCGGGGTTTTGTCTCTTCTATGAACTCCAGTTTCTTTGAGCAAATAAATTCAACTCCCTGCGGCTTGGTTTTCCTAGCTGTAAACTGACAGTGACAACATGCTTTCCACTAAAAAAACCTTTAAAATCTATTCTGCTGTAACAAAAAGCTAAGTAATATAATCCAAAAACTCCTCTCTCTCTCAAAAAAAGGCAAACTAACCAAGTCCAAGAACTCACTGTAATAAATATGATTCCATTATATTTACAATTCTTTATTTCTGTTATTTAACTTTTTAAAACAAGATTCATAATTCAAATAGGGACAAGGCAGAATCTGCAGCAGAGCAGTGTGACAACTCAACAGAAAGCAGAGTGGTGGAAATTGTTATTAACTGCAGAAACAGCTGTGAAATCACCAAGCAGCTGGGTAAAACTTGCAAAGGAGCAGAGATTTATGTTGCTAATCTTATTCAACATTCCCTTTCTATATGTGCATGATTGTGGAAGATCATTTTGACACTGAAGCAGGAGCTCCTAAGTGGGGATGAGAATACACTCATGAGAATAAGTTCATATAATGATAAACTTTAAGGGCTTTTTCTCTTCTTAAGTTATTTACACCATGCTAACATTTCACAAACACAAACATTTACAGGCACAAACCGCTGCTGTTCTTCTCTACATGATCCTTGGAATAAGCCTGTGACACAACTAAAGTATAGTTAGCCCATTACTGAAGTTAGCTAATAATAAGGAAGTCTCTGCTTATCTCCTTGACTAAATTCATGCGCACACTAACTAGCAATTAGTTTGACTTTTTGAAAAGTTTGGAGGGAAATGCAGACACACACACACACACACACACCACTTTAGAGAAATAATCTAGATTACATTAAACCAAAAGCAGACCTCTGAAACCGTCTTGCAGTCCACTTCCACTCATATTACAAGAATGGTTACATTTGTTTGAAAAGCTCTTCGTAGTGCAATTGTGCCCCCTAAGCCACTCTGCTAGCATCATTCTTCGAAAAGATTAATTGCTCTGTCAGTAATTTATTTGTATTTGCCCTTGACTACATACAGTTCAGGCGACTTTTTAAAATGAATGTCTTTATCAAAAAAACTGACTGACAGAGCAACATTTTACAGACAGGATTTCTTCCCTC